AAAGCATCTGTAACCAATTAAATCTGAGCTTGAAAACCATTAAGGTGCCTCAGGTTTGCTCTCTGGTGTGAAAGATAGAGAGTTCGGGGACTGCAATTGAAATTTACTGTATTGTTTGTCATCTTCAGCTATGATTCTGAAAATGAGTATTGGGAATACTATGTCTTCAAAGTATATTGAAGATCGTGGTGCAAAAATATAAAATTTTGATAAAAGTTTATGCTACTGCAAGAGATGGAAGACACTCTTGCACTCTGTGTGCAACGTTACAGTTTAATTTAAAGAAATTGTCTATTAAACTGTAAATTAAATTTCTTGGACTATGGCAGTTCCTGCTGTTAACACCCCCCCCAACAGCGTTTCTGTGCTTAGCTGCAGTACAGTAATGGTAACAGAAGGAGTGAATTCTGTAGTCAAAAGGAAGATAAAAACTTGACTTAGCCAGACTGCTGAAGCTTCACCGATAAAGCATCCGATAATAGTCTCATTGGGAAAAAGGCAGCAGAAAGGAGTCATGTGTTCTCTGAGTGCCAAATCTTTACCACAAACATTTTCAAATGCAAACTGACTAAATTGCGCACGTCACATTCCGACTGAGCGAATAAAGAATGCCACGAAGGCGCCATCGATTGTCATTATTAACAGGAACAGAGGCCAGGCAGCCTCCTCAAAGTCACGCTGGCGGCGTCCAGCCGGTGGCCATCTTGATGGTGAAAACATTTAGTGATACCGGGAGGCGTTCCCAATGCCAATGCAATTAGCTGAGGCATGCACGAGCACCAAATTCATTAACCTCCATATTTTATGGGCTGCAGGGGAGCAGGAGGAGGAGGAGGAGGAGGAGGAGGAGGGGGGTTGTTGGTGGAGGAGCGGAGCGACACGCGTGGCGGCTTTGTTTCAACCCAAAACCGGAAAGTGAGCGCAGCGAAATGAGGGAGTGAAATGAGGCGGAAAGAAACGAGACGTGGGAGGGGGAATCGATTAAAATACATATTGATATTGTGTTTTCTCCCTCGCAGCCTGATGGCTCTTTTCCCTTCGCGGCTTACTTTGCCTCTTCGGGGGCCAAGCAGCCTTCCCACTGTTGCCGGGGGGCTTCCTCCGAAGGCGGCGCGCGGCTGAAATCCAATTTCAACGCTGCCATTCGCCTCCCGGCAGTCATATCGCGGCCCCGCTCTGGATTCACTGTAGGCCGTGATCGGGATTCGGACCTGCGACGGACGCAGATGACGGCAATAAAGGATGCCACCCCATGAGCTCGATGGAATTTATGAAGAAGGCTTTTTCAAGCGTCCAATATTACAGATGCAGGTGCGGAAGAAGGAAGCGGGGAAACAGGCTTTCAGGATTTCACTGGAAGTTGAGTGCAGAATAAGCACAAGAAAAAGAAGGAAAAAAAAAAACTAGCACATGACCCATATAAGCCCTGTGAGAGAAACAATAGGTGCTGTACCGCTGCACACGCTGCGTAACAGTGAGTAATACAGGAATCTGGCAATAGGAACCCTTTGCTTCTCTCTCTCTCTGTGAATCTAATGGGGGCTCCTGGCTTTGGATCAGGTCATTAGAGGTGAAGCAGCTCGGAGGACCATTGTAATGGGGGTTTCCCGTTCAGATGACCACTGCGTTTTCCCTCTCCGACCGAAGCTCTCACACAACACATGAAGATGAACTCCGGGATTCAAACACACACATTCTCTCTCTCGGGTTCACGTCCCACCATTTCCACGGGGCTGATGGCGGGGACTGCCTCCCCGTCTTGTTGCTTCCCGAACAATACACACCGTGAATACGGAGCGACACGCCGAGCTGTTAAGCGTCTGTAGCAGGGATCCCTCCCCTGACACCGAGTACTCCATTAGGCTTTTACTGAACGGAGTGCTGTCTGATAAAAGTTGCAGGGCCTCATGTCCAACTATCACATGCACTTTGTTGAGCTATTTTTGCATTTGGACAGTTGTTACTTTATTTTTGTTCACAACGAACTCACGGCTTTCTTATTTTTTTATTTGAGGGGTCCGAATTCTGATTGCCCTGAAAGATTCCCACAAAAGGAGCCAAAAAAAAAAGGATGACCACATGTTTTACTAAACAAGTCAACGGATGCACAAACAGATCATTAAAAAGGGTCAAAGATCTCAACTTACTGCTGACACAGAGGAGGAAGCACTGACTGAGTGAATCATGGACTGAGCACCTGAAATAAACAGTTTATTCTGACATTAACCCAAACAGGAGAGGAAATATCTGCTTCTCAACATTCTTTTCCTGTCAACTTAAAGGCACAACATGTGCTGGACATGAAAATCTGATATCCCCCCCAAACAGATCAGACCACGTAATACATAAGTATTAAGTCATTTTACATAAAAATAAATGATTCTTTCAGCTGACAAATGGCCATACAGTGTCCGGTGTAAGAATAAAAAATGCCATGTAATCTATTATAAGTTAGGTCACTGATTGTTTGGGGAGTTTTTCCTGTGCCGATGGTGGGTTTCGGGGCAGAGGATGTTGTATGTGTACAGACTGTAAAGCCCTCTGAGGCAAATTTGTAATTTGCGATTCTGGGCTATACAAAATAAAATTACTTGACTTGACTGATACGCACATTTTAGATAAGTATACAACTTCGATCACCCATGAATCCAGCTGCCTGGACAGAGAATGTACGAATGGGGGAGACACACCACTCCACATTAACAAGTGTTCTCTGTACCTGCTCCACCATCTAAATATAGCGACTGTAGAGCCGTGAAAGGAGTGAGTCAAAGCAGTTTGTTTCACAATCTGCACCGAGAAGGCCGCATCAGTTGAGCTACAAGACACAAATAAAAGGTTTGAAGCGGAGTAACGGAGGGAAAGCGACGCTGTAACCCGTGACTGTAACGCCCGTTCATCTCGCTCATGTGCTCTTACTGCACATGTGACTCCTTGGTCCCCGACAGCCCTCCGTCAGTCTAATTCTGCTGCACATTGGGACACGTTGAGAATTGGAAGGCCACCAACGGCCGTAAACGCCGCGCGAGCAAGGGCAGCCAAGGAATAAAACCACCACTGCGTATCTGTGTGCGTGCTGGGGAGAGGGAGAGAGAGGGAGGGAGAGAGAGAGAGTGATGACCTGAAGAGCGCATCCCTCAAGTAAACGACCGACAAACAAATTCACTTTAGTGTTGGACTTTGTTTTGTGACGGCGCACCATTGAAACTTAGAAGCATTGCGCCAATAACAGAGAAAAAACTGGCTAAAAGGTGATGGCAATAAGACGCAGGGAGAAAACCGGGGGACGGGAGGAGACTGGGGGAGAGGAGCTGGGACGCGAGAGGACAGACGGAAGGATGCAGGCCCGAGGCGAGAAGGGAAAAGTTTGTCGTCCTCACGGATGCCGCTGTGGCCAATCCGATCAATACAGCTCTCCCCTCTTCTCCCCTCATCATCTCTGTCTCCTGTTCTCTTCTATGAAACACGAACCTTCGTGAGGACTATGAACCTCCTGCACGGGTCAGCATCGGAGACACACACACACACACACACACACACACACACACCGTTTCTGCACACACACGCACACAAACATGGACGAAAGGGCACGGGTGCAGATTTAAAACTTGACTGAGAAGTAGATCCATGAATTCGTTTGACCTGAAGCATCTTTTTCTTTCTTTGTTTTTCTGGTTTGGGAAAAGATTAAGCCACAATGTTGTTTGTGCTCCGGTCAAATAACGTTGCCAGCAGCATAATTCGAAACCGGGCACCCATGGGCGCAAAAGTTCGGTAAATGTCACCGTTATTAAATGGATCCCTCACGGTCAAATCTCCCCACGTCCATTACGCAGATTGTAACGGATGCTTTTCTCTAAACAGGGAAATATAAGACACAGCGGGGAGTTTATTTTCACACAGAATTGTGGAGAGACGACCATTAAACCTTTGTTTTCTTTTGTCCCATCGTTTGCTATAATCACTTATTAAATGCCAACTTTCTTGCTTGTGTGCCCCCCTCATCCGGTACTGTCCCGAGTAAAGAGAATAAACAAAAAACAGGGTTGTCTTAAAGGAACACATGTGCGAGGAGGAAGAGGAGGGAGACCCACGTGCACTTCAGTTCCTCCTCCGTCATATGAAAAGCTTTGTCATCAATAAATCACTCGTGTATGCATTATACATGGATGTCTGTGCATTCAAGCACACGCACACACACACACCCATATATATATACATATACAAGAGAGTACACACAAAAAAATGCAATAAAGAAATGACCCCATGCAAACACGACCTTACAGTCTTGCAACTAGCAGCATTTGTCTCACTTGGTACGAAGGTGAAATAACGCCTATGAGGCAGTGATTAACAAACCGTACTCTGCACGGTGTGATTAACAACCGACCACCCAGACTCTCGTTAAAACCTGCCAAGGATGTGCAAATGCTTAAGGGAGCCCTTTGTGTGACGTACTTTCACTAAACGGACGGGCAATACTCTGAAAAAAAAACATTTCAAAGAGTCCGAGGCAGGAAAACAAAAGGCTCCATGTGTCCGCACAGCGTTTGCCGCGTCTGCACGCGGGCGGCGGGGGAACGTCGTCATGTGCGGACAGCTGACATTATTTATGACTTTGAGCATACGAAGGCAAACAGGCACAGACATCATGCAAACACTTGGCATGCACTACAACAATAAACACACAGACTCCCACGTAAAGAATCAGGGGAACACCATCACACGCACGCACACACGCATTCAGTACACAAGGTCAAAGAAGCTCTTTAAATTGGACAAGTGTCAGAATAGAACCGAGACACATGTGCATTGAATTATGCGCAGATCTGTACATGTACATGAAATGTGTGTGTGTGTGTGTGTGTGACGAGGAAAACTCCAAGCTCAGTTGATCCAGGCAGTCAAGCCCCCCCCAACACACACACGCACACACGCACACGCATCCAGAGTCACGCTCCACCGATGCTAGCTGAGCGGAGCCAGCCCTCGCCTGTTACCTTTCTCTTTTGTTCCCGGGACGCTGCTCTCCTGCTCTTCCTCCGCTTCTCCTTCTCGTCCTCTAATGCATTCACATCCACTTCCCCCCGATTCTTCTTCAATTGAGAGGCCGCGTGAGCCATGATAGGCAATAAAAAATGTTTGTATGAGCACCACACACTACACACGCGTGCCTCACCTGAAATCCCAGAGAAGTTCAGTGGCTGTAATTTGACAAAACCGGGATCTCAGTGGTAAAAAGTGGGGTAGAAAAGGAAAGGGGGGGAAAGGGAAGAAAAATGCCCTCCTTGAAAAGGAGAATGGAGAAGAGTAGGGTATCTTTTACATTTGAATGTATATCCGTGTCCTTTCTTTTGGTTGTTCTCTGTCTCTCTCTCTTTTGTCTTTTTTTCTTTTAAAGTGATGGAAAGACGAGAGAGAAGAGACAGCAGCTTCTCTTCATCTCATCCTTCTCCTCCTCCTCCTACTCGTCCACTGGCAGTGTGAGACGAGCGCGGTCCAGGGGAGGTGAGGACAAACGGGATGGAAAAGAAAGAGACACGAGCATCACCAGCACAGAGGTGGAGGGAGGGAGGAGAGAGAGAAAGAGAGCGAGGGGGAGAGAGAGGGAATGGAGGTGGAGGCAAGAAGGGAGGGAGGGGAACGGTTACTACGGCAACCACGCTCTGTTTCAGTCTGTCCTCTTAAATGTTTCCCTCGCTCTCTCCCTCTCTTCTCTCTGCTTTGGTCCCTGCTACTGTACGTCGCCCTGGTTGTCCGCCATGCACACGTGTGTACGCCTGTGTGTGTTGTTGTGAATGTGTGTGTTGGTGTGTGTGAGATAGAGAGAGAGAGAGAGAGAGAGAGGGGTGTGTGAGTGCATGAATGAAGCAAAGGCACCGTTTGGGAAAGCAAACGGAAGATGGCAAGGAGCGACAGACGAGTGTGTGTGTGTGTGTGTGTGTGTGTGTGTGTGTGTGCGTGGACACACACTACCAGCTGGAGGTGGCCAAGTGACAAAAAGGAAATGGGGAGAATATGCAATGCACACGTGTGAAGCCGAGGCTAACCGTGCATAAAGGAAGAGGAAGCTGCAACTGATGACATCATTCACTATTGCCCGTCAATTGTTCCAAAATGTGCAGATCGAACCAAACAATAAACTGAAAAAAAAGGAATAAACCAACCAGGTGACCAAAGATTAGTGATTTAATAAATGTAATAAATAAATGAATCTCTCAGAGAATAGAGCAGAATTTCTGTCCTGCGCTCAGTGTGGTCATCCCACCATCTGGGTTCATTGACACCCTGACGGAGAGGTCAAGCGGGACCAAGGGAGCTTTTGTTTCACCAAATCACTCGTGTCATTGTTGAAAACAGAGGGACAGGGGAGGAGGAGGGAGAGACAGGAAAGAAGATCTACACCGAGGGAGGGAGAGACAACAAAAGACCCCGTTTGATTTGCTGTGACTGATGAGGGGAGAAAGGGGGAAAAAAAAATATTTAGGATGTCCTTCACGTCAGACGCGGCAGCGTGGAGGCGAACGCAGCGCGGTGGCGGCGGCCATCTTTATGTCTCCTCTCCACCGCGTGCCTGCGTGTCAGAGGCACCTATGAGCCTGGCCGGGTCCTGTCGATACCGAGAGGCTGTCTCATCTCATGCCTGTCTGCTTCCCACAAAAGCTGCCGTGCCTCCTCATCTGTTCATGTGGTCTACGCGGGTACCCTACGGTGAAACGCTGGGGATGAGAGCAGGGACCTCGGTCACTGCTGCTAGAGAGAGAGGAGGACAACCCTCCTGGGACATGTGACAGGATTAGCCGGTGGACACCGGGCATGTAACGAGGCGAGTGTGAAATTCCCTTTTCAATTCCTCAAACGTATTCACCCTCTCTTTCTTTTTTCTTTCCTTTTCAGCACCCAACACCAGCCACCGGCGTGATCGAGGGGGGGGTGAAGCTGACTTACCGCCCCACATCATGCATCAGGGGGTGTCACATTATTGCAAATTATCATGCGGTTGCTAGGCGAGGGCCAATGGGGTGTCTCCAGGGAGGACAGGATGGATGGATAAGGAGCGTGGAGAGGTACGAGGAGGCGGCAGGGGGGTGGGTGCATGACAGCGGGGCATATGTGCACATGATAAAAGAAATGCTATTTACGAAAAATATATAAGGAAGGCTCATGACGAATGATCAGGAATTAGAAATGTTGCGATCACATGGCACAGAAACCTGCATAGTTGTGCAAAAACAATAATTTACTGTAGTTGGCGGTAGTACCAACTTTTATCAATGAATTCATTGATAAATAACAACTCAAAGTAAGCACACTAACCCCCCCCCCCCACAGGCAATAGCCTTACTTGTAGTAAAAGCCACTGCCAAGGTGTCCTATTCTTTAAATCCAGCCATTTTGCAGGCAAATAAGGGGCTCGTCTGCCTGAATAGAGCTGACTTGGCTGGTGGCCGTGAACTCTAGTATTGGATATTTTCCATCCGCTTTCCAGGCACTATGCCATACACCTACGGCCAGAATGAAACTACCCCAACATTTTCATTGGGATGGCCGTTTTCATTTAGTAGTAGAAGTGATTTAAGCTGAAACTCGCGATGATCTACGGAAAAATCCACTGGCAACAATTTGTTTATGAGATTTTCCAGATATTTTATAGATTATCGCTAAAGAAAAATAAATATGACGATCATTATTATTCATTGTTAATTATAATCAATTATCACACATCACAATCTGCTAACAAATGGAAGACATTTTAAATAAGTAGCCCACTTATTATGAGATTATGAACGTTGAATATACATATAATAACAATATACAAAGCAAACTTTCTCAGCTGTCGCATGTCTTTAGACACCATTTTGCCCGGGTCACTGTTTTAACTGCGGGGAGTCAGTTCATCTCACTGGTGCATCTCCCTCGGGTGCAACACAGACCAATCACAGCATCAATCTCATTGGCCTCTTTGACCTCCACATCAGCGCCTTCCCTAACACGCACAGCAAAGACGGCATCTGGAGGCCCTGAGCTGGACACTGTGAGGTTACAGAGGAACCGGCACACAGGAAATTACACCGATTCCTTTAATCGAGCTGCTGTATCGCATGTTTCAAAATAATAAAATAATAAGCAGGGCTTCCTCTGATGGACCACAAGTATTATTTGTAGTCTGCTGCCCTCTAGTGCTCAACAGCACAAACAGTCCAAACCTTGTTCCAGGAGGACACTCTTGGTCTCTGCATTAATATATGAAAAGGCTGTTAGGAATACAATTAATCAGAACCCAAATAGGTGTTGAATTCAGATAACTTATCCTAAACTATGAAATATATTAAACCAATTCACCTGTACTTCATGTCGTCACTAATATTACTCATTTTTTCTTTTTCAGATTTAAAATGTCGTTGTTGTTTTTTTATCTTCGCTTTAGGCTTTCAAACCAGAAAAAAAACAGATCACCACGTAGATTTGGGTTTTACTATGACATATTTATCTCCTCCTCTCCCCCCTCTGGTGGTCCAAAACCTTTGCCTGCTCTGATTCGACAGGAAAACGCCTGGAGGAAGGAATAAAAAGAGGCCGGAGAAAGCGGAGAGTAAAAGGTGCCAGGTCAAATGCCAAGTGCTTATAGACTGATGGGAAATAGATGCAGCCACGCAGAGAACCCCCCCCACACACACACACACACCTCCCCCCCCACCCTCCATCACCTACACTTGACCTGAAGGCTTATAGAACATCAATATTCAGTATATCAACAAGGGGGGACGTGATGAGAGGTTGGATGTAACACACCAGTATATATGGGTTTTTAACTCCCAAACACATAGACTGATGCTCATTCACACACACACACACACACACACACACACACACACACACACACCCACACACCCACAACCATCTATTTTTGGTGTATCCTAAATGATATAAGTTACTCCAACGTCTCCCCCCCGGATGAACATAACGCACCACCACTTTAACCCAGTTAGCGACAAGCAACCCACCTAAATGTGTGTCACAACCGAGCGGCCCCCTTCAAACCGGACCAAAATGTCCTTCCACGTCTTCCCCACTGAGGGGCAGGCAGACGTTCCGAGTGGAGCGGACGAGCACACTGACACGCACGCTAACACACAGTGTACACTTTAAGGTGGGCTCCTGAAACGCTTTTCCTTTCCTTTATGTGGCGAGGAGGATTTCTGGCATCGAATGCCTCTGCCTAAGGAAAGGTAAAGAAAACAGGGTGCTCCACACTTTTTACCGTCACAAAAAACAGGCAATGTGGGTCACAACTGAATGAATCCTGATTGATCTCTGTCTCTGAAAATGGGGTTACAACTCAAAGAGGGAAGTCACACAGTTTAGGAGGATCTAGATGAAGAGAGCAATAATAATTCATGCAGCTTTAAAAGTGGAGCAGACTGCTGTCCACTGCTCTATGTGACAGTTCACCAGGATACATAAGGGGTTTACACATGATACCTAAATAAGTTCATCAGTGGACATAGTGGACAGGTCTTAATGGATAAACTTTCACCACATTAAGCATTTCTAAACCAACATGCAAGCAAGGACTGCAAAGTATTACATCTTGAAGGTCCCATAATGAGGTTCATTTACACCAACAATAATGGGAAAAAGGCTAGAAAACTTGTGACGTGATGCCTTCTGACAATCCCCCGTGGAACCGGTGTTGCAGAACAAAGTCACTACGAAGAAAAGCGAGATATAATTGAGAATTGTAATAGACAATATTTGCGAGCTGTTTCAACGAACACGGTTGCTTGTTCATTAAGTATTTCCGTGAATCAATGGGGAGTTCATTTCTTGGCGGAAACCAGTGGTGGCCCGAGTGTGCAGAGGGGGTAGTGCTGCTTTTCTGTTTTACACAGACATGGCAGCAAAAGAATAAACAATTTCACGGTCTGTTGGGAAGAGTTACACACGGCGTTGCACAATCACCCCCAGTGTTTGCCTGTTATTCAAATGCTGCTCTGTATCAGCGCACCGTGCTGCAATAAGTCGTTTCCTCGAGGCGCAAGAGAGTGAGATTGGTCGTTTTTGGAGCTGGCATTATCTAAAAAGGCCGGACGATTACTCAAAAGTTATAACGTTTTTTTATAATCTCGATAAAAGAAATGCTCCACCGCTCTCCTGTGCACTTTTCTATATTCTCAGTGCATTGCTGTTGATACAGAAATACTAATTACGTTACGTCGCGGTGAATTAGCAACCTGTTTGATGGCTGAATACAGGCGTAAGTGGCCGTGGCCTCAAAGGTCGCGACCTCGTCGCTCCATGCAATCGCGGATCGAGCATCGGGTCTTCTGGGATATGCAACCCGTCGCCACGGTGACAGGTTACAATCACAATGCGGCCCCTGAGCAGTGATGGACGGAGTCGCCTGGAACTCTCGGTGGGATATGAATAATAAACAATAGTCACCATGGTTACCACAGGTTGATTTGGCCGA